AAAAAAAAAAAACCCAAAAAAACAAAAAAAGAACTGCGCAATTTGTTAGTGATTCAAGTAGTCTTCAAATGCAAATCAGTGATCTAATAGGATGCTGTAATAATCGGCCCTTGACACTATACTGCTAGAATCTTAACATAAGTACAACACTGCATCCTTCTACATGATAAGGATTTCAAAGATGATAAAAAGGAAACCAGAAATATGCTACAGACTTAGAATCTCATGAGCTAGAAAGCAAAGAAGCCAGGAGAGAGTCTTGGTAAGAAGTTCTGGTCCACGGCCTTTCCTAGTAAAGTAAGATGAGAAATCTTTCAAGATCCCTCCAGAGTTTATGGATTTTTAAAACAAAATTTAGAAACTCTCCAAATAATGGCATCAGGATTGTCACCTCTACAATGCCAAATAATCTTTGGCCCTACAATAAAAAACAATTTAAGGTTCACAAGTGGTTGATCTGTTGGGATTTTTAAAGTAATCTTACAGAAAGTGGAATGTATGGGTTTTATTAAAGGTGTTTTCTGCTGTTTTGCCTGATATTTTCCAGGAGTCATAGACTATGAATTCAAAATCAGAACTATCTTCATCACGGATGAGTTCTTCAGCTTCTAGCGGATTTACACCCATATGTGTCAGCTACAAAAATGAAGGAAAACAAAAAACCCTAGTTAAGCCATAAGCAATCATTCACCACATCCAATAATCTATATAACTAAACTTTTAAGAAGCCAGAGGCAAAGGTTTTTAGCATCTTAATAAAATGGCTCAATTTCTTATTGTAAACATAATTTTATATATAAATTCCTAGTCAGAAGTACCTTCTCTTTGACAAAAAATATCCCTCAATGTTCTTAGATCCTTTAGGGTGAGAAAATGAGATAATTTAGACCAATAGTTCTCGACCAAGGTGATTTTGCCCCTGGGGGTCTTTTGGAAATATCAAAACATTTTCGGTTATCATAGCTGATAAGCTACTACATCTACATCTACTGGGGAGAGGCCAAGAAGGCTGATCAACATCTTCAAACACACAGTACAGGCCCCCAAAACAAAAATTTACCCAGCCCAAAATGTCAATCATACTGAGACCGAGAAACCCTGCTCTAGCCCACTGACAGGTTCAAGTACACCCAAGCTCACTGGGGAGTTTTGTATCATAAGTAGTTCAGTTATTAGTAAAGCTGGACTAATGCAGAAACAAAAAATGAAATCCCAAGTCAATAACTCCAAGACAGAACAGGGAAGTTTAGCCAGCTTTCAGATTTTAATTTTTAACCAACTTCTTAGACCTCTTTATTTTGTACTTCCAGAGAACGGCAGCCTGGCCACAATGAGAAATATCACTCATTTCACAACTGCCTTCCTGGGAAGAGCTGGCAGAAGTCAAACAATTCTCATCTTGAACTGGCTTACAGAAAATGTATTATACTGAATTTACTTTTATGAAAGAACACAGTAGTACATTATGCTATAAAAATGCCTAGAAGTTTTTAATTAAAATTGTAATATGTAAACAATAATCATAAAGACTTCAAGAAGCTTACCCTTATTTAAAAGCAAACAAACTCTGAAGGAAGAAAGGCTATGAGGGCCTGACCAGAGCAGTGTCAGCTCTCCTTCAGCCACTTGCCCTTATAAAGGGATGTTTCAATTTTTGTCTGGTCAAATTTACCAATCTTTTCCATATAGTGTCTATGTTTGATGTTGTTCTTGGGAAGGCCTTCCCTAACCAGTCTAGAAAACTATTAAGGTTTTGTATTTACTGCTTTAAGACTTCTGAAATTTATTTTGACATATTATTTAAAGTACAGTGCTTACCCTGATTTTTAAAAAAATAATTAAGAAATATATATCCAATACCTGGTCACTTTATTGAGCCATACATAAATATACATTTTCCTAAATGCACTGTATTTCACAGTTTAAAAAAAAGTTTTTAAAAAAGGAAAATTTTAAGGTTTTAAAAACAAAGAAATAATTGTTTGCCTCATGCCTTTTTAAAATAATCACTTCATCTGGTCAGATCTCATAATACTAAATCATTTTAATAACCATTTAACATCAACTCCAGCTAGACATTCAATGTTTATAGCAAAGTCCACCTTTCTGTGCTAGGACAGAGGCTGGCTCAGGGTAGGATAAACAAGACAACAGAGGTAAGATGGTGTTTGTGTGCTGTTTTTGGTAAATCAAAACTATTCAACTAGGCAACAACTATTCAAACTTGTTTTGAAGCAAGCAATCAATCAACAAAATAAAATCTAAAAGAACAAATGCAGTCATACGCATACAGTTCTAAATATTCTCAAAGACAGACCAAAATATGCTTCCTAACTGTCCCAATTCATCTCCAGCTGAGCTCTGCCCCCTGCAGTGTGGGCTTTTGCCCAGTCCAGGACAAAGGTTTCAGGTCACTGAGAATGACGTAGAACACTTAAGCATTCTACACTTCATAAATGGCCACTTATAAATAACCATTGCATCCAGACTCTTAGAACACTAAGATTGTCAAACTGTTCTAAGCTCCTACCCTAAATTCTACCACATAGCTCTACTTTCTTCTATTTAACTTGATTAAAATCTCTTTAGAGGAACTGGAGACTAGAAAAAGAAAAAAAAGGGGTGGAGGTTCAGTGAGTGAAAATAGGGCTGGGGATGTAGCTCAGTGGCACTGCGCCTGCCTGGCAAGGGCAAGCTCCTGAGTTCGAACCCCAGTACCAAAAAGAGGGGAAAAGATTTGCACACTGATTGATATAAGTAGGTAATTATACAATATGACAGGAAACATTCTTAAAATTTTATAACTTTGAACTTACTAGAGTTTCAACATATCTTAACATATCAAATGAACTGAGATCAGAGCGTAGCTTCTTTGCTTTTTCTTTGCCCAAATCTGAAGCCAGAACAAGAAACTGGGCATCTAGGACTGCTTCTCTTGCTCGGGACACTATCAAGAAAAGGAAAACATATGCATTACAAAATACACATTTTCCACAGTTATTTCCAACTACTTACTAGGATTTCCCATTGCTCCCCCCAAAAAAACTCAGTAAGGTGAAAATAGATCCATTTTCTAAAACTGGCTCCCCATGCATTTCACCAAAATCGCAATCAAGTCGACCAGCAGTCTTCCCAAAAGTCAGCTCTCTCTCTCTAGCTTTCATACTATAGGTAACTGAATAATAGCTTCTTAATAACCCAAAATTTAACGAAATCTATCATGTCTAACACTCATTTTCCCCTTCAATTCAGCCCATTCTAATCACTGATCCCACCTGTGCTGACATAAGTCAAGTCAAATTTTCACTACAGGTAGGGGGAGAGATGGTATGAAGTTTGGGGAGATGGACGAAACAGTAGGGCTGAGGGGCCAGGGCTTAACAGACGTGTGGGTAACAGGGAGCATGAAAAGTAATATGAGAACACCTGCAAAGGAGATTTCTAAAGGGAGCCAAGAAGAGATGAACTCAGCCATGTTCAAATACAGATGCCTGTAACTGGCTTATACCTCAAAGCCATTGCATTTGAAGCACTGATTTCCTGAACAATCCTCACACAAACAGTAAAGATTTGGCTGGAGAACTTGCTGACTCCAGTTTTTGTTCTTATCCATCATGTTTTTTCTCACAGGAAAAGTTTTAATCATTTTGGGAGAGTCACTGCAGAAATGACAATGAATAAAGGAACAAAGCAGACGCAGGTGATGGTTACTGAGTAGACTCTTTCCTGGGCTCTATTCTACATCTCCCTTGGCCCTCAGCCCCATAGCACACAGAAAGAAAAGTGCAAGTATCATATCACAGATGACTGCACAATCTCAAAAGACTTAGAGATTATCACATCCATGAATGCCAAGCACCTAGAATTCTATTTGTCAAGCAACTCCGAAGGACCAGTAGAGTGAAGAGTTTTACCTTAAATTCTTTTTTTTTCCCCCATTAAGTTTATTGGTACATTTTTGGTATAAAATACATTTACATACATCATTGGGATCTTGTACCACTACATGAGTATTTTGCTTCTTATTTTTTTTTCCCCTTCCCCTGCCCTCCCTTCACCCCCTCCACCCTTCCCTACTTGCAAAGACTTTGTTTCCATTTTTATCCTTTTCTCATATTTTTTCTTTTCCCTTTTTTCCTTTCCCTTACCCCTCCCACTTCCCCTGCTCCCTTAGACCTTTTCTTCCTATTGCACAATATCAATTATACATTTTTTAAATTACAATATCAAGATCTAGGAGACATTACCAGATTTTACAGAATTTAAAAGGATATAGAAGGCATATTACAAAAATCTTCTTTGAAATAAATTTGACAAGTTCTAAGAAGTACCTTGAAAGACAAATTAATGAAACTAACTCTGGAGGAAATATAAAATTTGAATAGCACCAATTAGAGAAAGTATATTCCTAGCTTGAAAACCTACCTATATGACAACAGCAGGCTCATAAACATTTTAACTGATAAATTATATCAAACATTTAAA